GACAAGATATCTAAAGTCCATCACACAAATAAAGGTGTTGGTTTTGAATGTAATCTTAGCATGCAACTATCAAGGAACATTACAATCTTAACAAGCCTGTTTACACTAGTTTCGTCTTAAACAGGACCCAATTTATTGATTAACACAGCTTTTGCCCATTTCAAATAACTACTGTAAAGTACTGCTGATCATGCCCTGCAATAATGGCCATATTTGTACAGACTGCAAAATCTACTCAAGAGTATAGGACATTACGAGACTGGATTGAAACATGCCAGGCCTTGACTAGCTGTGAGTCAGACAGGAATGTCTTGAAGTAGGGCTTGAAGAGCAGCATAAATAAATAAAAAAGGTAGAAATGCAATGGGAACCCCTGATGAAGGAGAGGGGGGTGGGGGAGTGGAGCAGCATCCCCTCCTCATCTTGCTGTTTTGACCTTGTGGTATGAAAGGTAATTTCTGATGCTTGCCCAAATGCCAAAGTAAATCAATTCCCATAACCTACCGCTGCAGCACAGCATATATGACACACAGGAATGCAATAAAAGATGACACAGAGAAACGTGTCCCCCCCCCCTCAAATCACATTAATGGATAAATGGTTAAACAGTGTATGGTGTCTATTTATGATAACACTTAGGTCAATATAAAATGATATTATAATCATTCATCGGTTGTTTTCTGTGAAATAAAATAAAGCCTACCTCTTTCAGTTGGTCTAGCTCTTGCCTGACGGCCTCGTACTCAACCTCCAGGTCATCGTACTGCTGTTTGAGCTGCTGCTTCTCCTCAGCACCGCCAGCCCGTACTCCGCCGCCTGGATCTTCTCGTTCGTGGTCTCACCAGCTCCCGGGCGAGACGCTCGATCTCGACCGCATCCACTCCGGACCTGCCCACGCAACACCACTGCGTCGGGATGGCGCTGCTCTTCCACGGACATGGTCGGTTACCGGTGATGGATCAACCAACCTACGCCAGCCGATCTGCGTCAAGGAAGGGGGGGGGGGGGGAGATGATGGGGCGTCTTCAGGCGGCGTAACCTTGAAGCGGTTGCTTAAATTCGTCTGTATTTAAATTGCATGATTGTTACGGTTGCTTGTCTCGTAGCCGGCCCTTTTTCTTTGGTCATGTAGATGACGATGTTGATGTATCTCCTGCGGGGGAGCTCGCCGTTATTCCTAGAATTGCTCCATCGTTGAGGTGCTGCGTTTCCTTCACCTCTCTCCCCCGGCTTGTTTGAGCGATAGAGCTGAAGCCGGAGTAAAACTGCCAAAAGGGAGGAAAAAAAACGATCGACTTCCGGTACTTAGTTTCAAAATAAAACTCAAAATAGTCCTCAAACCACCTTTGGTTGCGGGTTTATTTTGCACTTTTTGTATACTGAAATGAAAATACAATATTTTGGAAAAACTAACTATAATTTAGAAGGACACATTGATTATTTATTGTCATGTCAAAGCTCTCTGTTTTTTTATTTTGAAGGAATATTTGACATCAACACCGGCTTTTTTGAAACAGCTGAACGTACCAAGTGCGTAACATCTACCCAATCAGCTGGGTAAGCTGCTACAAGGCGGCAAGGAATGCCGGGAAATGTAGTACTTTCAGTACACGAAGCAAACCAAAGGAGTCTGCCAACACCACGAAGTGAACTCATTTTCCCTTAAGCCTTTGTTCATTTGCTTATGTGGAGCACGGAAATCCTTCTCCGAGCCTTTTGTTGCCATAGCAATGGAACGAACAGACCATCAACAGCCACGCTCCAGAAGCCGTCACATGTATATCTGCTGCCATCTGTTGGAAAAGTATATTAATATTTTTTTTTACGTTACAATCAAGTGAACTTGTTTCAATAATCCACAATCAGGTTGATATCTTTAAAACATAATTTTATTAACAATCCAGGACTAATTTAGGCTTTATAATAAGTTTGTTAACAGTTAATACAAGGCTTATATGTGGTATCTTTTTCTTTATATGTGGTATCTTTTTCTTTATATGTGGTATCTTTTTTCTTTATATGTGGTATCTTTTTCTTTATATGTGGTATCTTTTTATTTATATGTTGTATCTTTTTCTTTATATGTGGTATCTTTTTCTTTATATGTGGTATCTTTTTATTTATATGTGGTATCTTTTTCTTTATATGTGGTATCTTTTTCTTTATATGTGGTATCTTTTTCTTTATATGTGGTATCTTTTTATTTATATGTTGTATCTTTTTCTTTATATGTGGTATCTTTTTCTTTATATGTTGTATCTTTTTCTTTATATGTGGTATCTTTTTCTTTATATGTGGTATCTTTTTCTGTAGGCCTATTACAAGTTGCACTAGGCTACTTTCCTAATTTTTATGTAAGCCTATTTTGCTAATTCAAGGCTACTTTTCTAGTTTCACTTATTTTATATTTGATTGCTGCAAGTTGATTTGTCATTTTAGCCTATATCATACTTTGGTTTCAGTATTTTTTACTTAAAGAGTCCTTACACATGTTAGCTCCTGGCTTTGCACTATAATGTATTTGTCACAGACTGGTGAGATATGCCTGGAATCAGCCATGCCGGTGATTTACTCATGACTTTATCTGACCCTTTACACTACATGCCATTCATTTAGCTTTAGTAGTTTTGTGTCCTCCAGACTGCTTCGCCCCTCTTCTTCCTTATCTCTCATGATGCTGGTCTCATTTTTTCCTCTTAGAAGCCCAACAGTGCGGTGCTGCCTGTGGATTTAGATGGCAGAGGCTATTTCTTGGATCCATACAGCACAATTAAAGATCTTCAAAGCTGTGAGTATTTATATTCCTCAGAATACTATAAGCTACATGATCAAAAATAGCTATAGCCTACTTTAAATATCTTGATCAGATAAAAAAAAAGGGTTAATGATATTTCATTTAGTGAAAATATACATTGTCTTTATTCTTAACATTTGAAATTATTAATGAGATCAGTGGCTATATGACCATGAACTTGGAGGTGAAAAAATGTTTGGAGCAGATAGAACTCTTGAGATTGAAATAAAACAGGTGATGAAAATGTTTAATGACTAGCTGGTTCCTCTCTCATTAAAATTTAGATGTAGAAACAAAAATAAAGGAAGAAATCTTGTTCTCACAGTTTTCACGATAGTATGTGCAGGAACTTTGAAATAAGGGTGACATAGCACCTGTTAGCTCTGGAGTATGCCCAAATGCTAAACATCATAGACTGATCCCTTCCCAGTAACCTAAATGTAATTAGCTTTACCCATTTGCAAGGTAAGCCAATCAGATTGTATCTACTGGCTATGTCACTAAAGTCCCACTATGATAGCAAGGTGAGAGCATTTAAGAGTGCTGATGTCAGAAATCCTCAGAACACTTTCATAAAAACAATCTAACTCTAACTATCAGTTATTTATATTGTAGACATGTTGAGAATCTGGTTTCTCATATTAGACTAGTCAAAGGCAATAGTAATGGGGCTTAAGTATGAGTTTTGGTTGAGTAGTGGGTGCTCTAATTTATTCCTCTGCCGTAATAAGATTAGCAGTCTAATCCAGGAGGAGTCAAGAATAGCCTACGCTCCCCTCTTCAGGGATTGACAAGAAACCTGTGCATGGAGGAGGCTACTGAGGACAGAGTCTCCGCTCCTTTTCCAAATATTTGGAGGTTGTTTATTTCCACACTCGATCCGTTATGCTGGTGAGATAGATGGCTTTCTACAAAGGATGGCTACAAAGGATCCTGCGGGTGCTTGATCTGCCCCACCCGGCCACAACAGAGATCATCTGAGACCAATCAAATCAAGTGAGACCACAGGATTGACTTTCCACAGAGCTGGGGAGGGAACGACAACGTCAGAGCTGTGGAGGTTGATGTTAGTTGTTTTTAATTTCGTATCTTATTTCATTTTATTCTATTATTCGTTTAATTTGGTTAAAGTTCTTTCCAAGTTACCTATTTCCAAGTTGTTGATTTAGCACTTTGGTCTTGAGGAGTGAAAATGTATTTATTAATGCAATGAGCCGCCTAGGGAAAGCTAACATGAGCATATCGCCTCATGGATTATGTTTACTTTACACGTGACTGAGTGTGATAGATGATGCTGATCTTTGATAAAAAATGTGTATTTACTAGTGTTCCTCTTTAAGTTGTTTATTCATGTTTACAATCTTTAACTTACTGTCCTGTGTCTTTGTCCAATTGTACTGTCTACCGCTTGCACATGTTTTCCAATGTGGTTTTTAATGCTTCAAATGGACATAAACTGATCGCTCACTCTCAAACAGAGACTTTTGCAGTTCAGAATAATAAACCCCAGAGCCCTGATTTCTTATCTGATTCCTCTCAGGTTCTGTTTGGACACTGGTTATAATTCTCTATTTAGGATTAAGATAAAGGCCTCCAGCATCAGCTATTGCAGAATGCATGATATAAAGTAGTATGTAGCGTGACAAAGTAAGTATTTGTGTGTGCAGGCCCTGCTATGACTGTGGATGTCAGCCTGAGACGCTGTTCATATGGCAGGCATTGCAAATACCAGAGGGGGAACTCTGATGGAATACAGTAAGTAACAATAGCATTTCGTTATCATTAAACACCTATCTGTTGATGACGAGGGAACAACTTGGTAATATACTGGTGTTTAAGTCACAAAAATTCTACATTCAAATGCACCACACAGGTGCCTTGAAATGTGACTATTTTTACTGTGATGATCTGATAACAGATTTACAATGGCAGATAAGGATTAGACACCTCCAAGTGAGAACTTACCGCCGATGATCTTAATTATAAAGGTGCTACGGCACAACTTAAACTTGATTGAACTTTGATGCTGCACTACAATTTACGAGGATATAATAACTTCTAATATGACTTCTAATAAGAAGGGGTTTAAAACATTGACTCTGCTAAGACACACACACACACACACACGCACACACACACTGCTATGATGATAAAAACATCTAACTAAATTTTAAAACTATATTTTCTCTCCCCCCTCCCCCCCATGATGACTCCAGTCAGAGCCCCCAGGGCAAAGTATACGCTAGTTGGAGAAGCTATACGTCATGTCATCCCTGCAGGTTTGCAATGCTCAATTGGCTGTGGAGGACAATCCTGCAAGTATGACAACCCAAGTTACTGGAAAGATGACCAACAGGCCATTAAAGGCCTCTACTCATCATGGTACACATGGTTTTTCTACCTTTGTAGTTGCGATGATATAATGAAACATATATCGAGTTCATGTTTATGAAATCTCTTCAGCCATGAGACTTAGATGGGTGTAGATTACTGTGTGATACAGTATTAACCCCACTCTCTTTTTTTCCTCTTGTTTTAGGGTTAGCGATTATCTTCTTGCTATGTCCAGACCGTCAACAGAAACTATTGAGAAATACAAAATCATTGATCAATTCAAAAGGTAAACATAACGTTGTTCTTCTTTCCTCAGTGTTTCACCAGCTTCCTCGACCAAGAGGACACAACACCTGAGGAGATGAGAATAATGAAGTGTTCATGTCTCTCTCTCTGTGTGTTTGCTTCAAGGAATGGTATTAAAACAGTGATGAACCTACAGATACCTGGTGAACATGCCAGCTGCGGAAATCCTCTAGAGCCGGAGAGCGGCTTTTCCTACCGCCCAGAGATCTTCATGGCAAACGACAGTAAGTGCTCTATGCAAATAAGAGAAGATAAGTAAGTTATGTTGAACTGTATATAAGCATGGCAGTGATTTAGTCCTAAGCACAGGCTGCAGTGCCACTTTAAGCAACTGTAACATATAGTAGGAAAAGTAATAAGCATAAACAGATATGTATTTTTTTTTTTTTACTTTCATCATCCATACGGCTCTTACACAATTAGTTCCAAAACTTCACTTGAGCTGGACCGTAGCCAATCAAACCTAATCATTTGCCTGCACTCTTGCTTGTGTGTATGTTTCTACATAAATCAGCAGACCAGCTACTTTGTGCATTTATCTGTATTCTCAATTATCACACAAGCAGTGAAATAAGAGTGTGTTGAAACAGGCTTTGATTGCCTGTGTGATTTAGAAGTACCTCCATGGTGCGAATTAACTCTATTGAGAACGCTGAGGTGGAGTGACACATATAGTGAAAAGTCCCAGTGATGTTCTCACTCAATATCAGTACTCGTGGAATGCATCCTGCCCAATTAGATATTTTGTCTTAGCTAACTGTTGTTTAATTGTTTATATTGGTGTATTGCTGCTCACGTTGCTGCTTCACGTTTCAGTTTATTTCTACAATTTTGGCTGGAATGACTACGGAGTGGCCAACTCACCCACATGCTAGACATGGTGAAGGTCATGGCCTTCGCTCTACAGGAAGGAAAGAAGCTGTCCACTGTCACGCTGGTCTTGGACGAACAGGTAGCTTTGCGAAGAACGTTGTTTCACAAGTGTTTTCACTTTTCAGGGCAGTCTGATTTGTCATTTGATCAATTTGTTATAAATGAAGCATTGTTTCCGCCTCCAGGTGTGCTTTTAGCATGTTTCTTGGCCTATGCTACCAGGATGACTGCCAACCAGGCTATTCTATATGTACGTGCTAAACGCCCAGTTCATCCAGACACGAGGTCAGCTGCATTGTGTCAGAGAGTTTGTTCAATTCCTTGCACCTTTGCGGAGTGTCTTTTCCTGTGCTGAGCCCCGATCTAACTCAGTGACTCTATCCCAGTACCTAAACCGCCAGAGACACATACTACATGGCTATGAAAGAAAGGAGCTAAGGAATCTACCAAAGATTGTCCAGCTGGTGTCTAGGCTGCTGCTGGACATTGCAGAGAATCGGCAGGTGATTGAGGAAGACATTCTGGAGGCCCCAGATATTCATGACTTAGAGATGACTCTCAGCATTATTGAGCAGATGGGTCCTGATGTGTTCGCAAAGGAGCCCCGCTTACCAGGTACACCAACCTTACCCAGACATTTCAACGAGCCACCCATCTTTACCATCGCAAAAGTCTTAGCTACAGTGAGTCCGATTTGAGACGACTGGGCCCCCAGCTCAACCTCCCCACACAACACTCGGCTCCTTGTCACAGACTACTATCGATACGTCTGTTTACCCCTCGGAGAAAGCTCACTCTCAAACTGAGATTCAGCGTTGGAACAGCAACCCTCTGAGGTCTCAGCAGGCTCACTGTGGCAATTAAAAAATGAAGAAACCCAAAAAGATGGATCCATTCTGCTGAGAAAAGTGACCCAGGCAAACATCCAACGGAGTGAGTCTGTGGGAACAGTGAACCTACCAAGAAGGGCAGCATGCTGGCTAGGTGGAAGGCAGAGCAGAGGGAAGAGTTAAAATGAACGGGACGAAGCCTAATGTAAGACAAGAGGAACACTCAGAGGTTCCATACATCACCCTGCAGACAGAGTTGTCCCTGGAAAGCAAGAGGCTGTTAGTGGCACAGGCCCTGGCAGTGGACCTTTTTTCTCGATGGGGATGAAGAGCAAGGAGCAAAGTCTTAGCGTGGCAGGTAACTAATCCACACAGTGATGCGGTGGTATTTGCAGAAATTGACGGCCAAAAAAACATCAACTGTAACTGTTTTTAAAAATTCAAAGTTAATCATCATGATTTTTTTATAGCTTCCTTCAGGTATGAAATTCTATATTTATATTTAAAGGGAAGGAATGGAGCCAAACCCACACAATGATGAATAATTCGATTGCATAAAAAAAGACAATTTAAATGTAATGTGGCTGTAACATCTTGACTCCTTGATTCAAATGCCCTCACCTTAATCTCTTAAATATTTCAAGATACTTTTAACAAAGCAGAATGCAGATTGTAAATGCCTTGCTTAAGCCACAAGGGTCTTACAGGGAGACAGTTTCTAACATGACTGTACAAATGTATGCAGGCAGAACTAAACAAGGTGGTGGCTGGGAAAGACTGTGCTCCGAGCGGGATCCCTTTATCCTTACTGGGCTCATGTGGTCATGGCTGGAG